CTTTTTTAAAGGAAGACATTTGTGTACCCTGTGGGGAACTACATTTTCCACAAGCCTGTGTGGTATGTTTATAGCCAAACAACATCCCAGCCTCACCCCACATACATATATAGTTATCCCTTCCACACCTCAACTTTCTCCATTCTGGTTTCCATATGTCACAGGACAGCATAATATGAAATTAAATGGGAATTTGAGGGGAGTTTTGCAGAAGCCGCAGATGACTCGCAAAGGCCAGCGGATGACACAGAAAAAAATCAGAAACTCAGAAATGCATAAAATATACATGTAGTATTGTATAACATCAACATAGTTTATCTTTTAATACCATAATAATTCAGACTTCTCTGGTACGAAGGGAGGGCCAAACAATTTTACGCAAATTTTCCAGATTGCAGGGGGTCCGTGCCTTTAATACCTACTATGTGGAAGGGATAAGTGTACCGGTCTCAGAATAGAGGTTTTCAAAAATGTATGGAGGTTCTGAGTACAGTGTGGGGGACCTGGGACACTGGGTGATAAGGATACACTTAAACCTGCCCATTCCTTCTTCAGCATCCTCCTTCCACTATAACTTTCAGCTATCCTGGGAATAAATTGTCTGAGCAAACTTCCCAAAGTGTAGAGGGAATAGGGAAGATTCTATTACACTAACATTCTAATTAGAACCTTAGGACCAATTTAGTCTGGAAACGTCTCCGTGTTTGATAATTCCCCTATGCCATAGTTACTATATCTCCATCTCCTGTTCCTTTATTCCCGGTCATTCAAAATTGCTGCCTGCCTGGGTGAAACCTGCTACATCTGGTCCATTTCTGCGCTGGGCCGCTAGGCGGCGCCATAGTGCACACAGCATGGAGTCTGAAACACCTGCGTTCAAATCTGACCTCAGATACATAATGGTATGACTAAGCATGTCAGTTAATTTCTGTCTGCCTCTATTTCTTCAACTGTAAAATTGAGATAATAATAGCATTTACCTCCCAAGACTTGTTGGGAGGATCAAATGGGATAACATATGTAAAGGTCTCAGCACAGTGCCTAGCACACAGCAGGTGCTTAATAAATGCTTATTTCCTTTCTTCCTAGTATAGGTGAGAGAAGCAAGGAGCATGGGGCAACAAGATGCTTTCTTTTGGGACGCAGGAACACGTGCTTTTATCCTATCAGGCTGAGAGTATAAGGGAACTAGATTAAGAAATAAAGTGCACCAGATGAGAAAATTTGGAACTCAAAATCATGTGGAAGTGAATGTTGAAAACTAAAAATAAATAAATTCATAATATTGTAATAAAATAAATCTAAACCATCACATAAATTTCAGTTATTAATAAAAAAGAAATAAAGTGCAAAATTGCCTACCATTTTCAGAAGAGGGGAGGAGAGGGAGAAAGGAAGAAAATTTTGGAACTCAAAATCTTGTAAGAATGAATGCTAAAAATTGTCTTGATTTGTAATTGGGAGAAAAATAAATACTATTTAAAAAAAGAAGAAATAAAGTGAAAACTCTAAAATACAGCACCTATTCCAGTTATTTGCCTGTACCCCCCTCTGATTGTATACAGCTCCTGCTGTGATATGGATGTAGTCATGTACACCACTGTCCCAGACACAGGTGGGGAAAAGACAGCCACTTGGGGAACAGGTCCCTGGAACAAAATTCCTGCTCACTTTATCTTTACTGTTTATTTTGACTTTTATTTCAAGTACATATCTTTTGCCCTGAGAGAAGGTTATATGCGTCATTTGGTTCATGGAGAGCTTCAGACAGGTGAAAGTGGGGACTTGGAGCATTAATTCAAGTCATTGTTAATTCTTCTGGTTTAGATAGCCAGAAATTACAGCAGAGAATTGTTAACAATTAAAACATCTAAGCATAGGGATGAGGGAGGGAACAAGAATTTATTTAAGTGCCTACTGTATGCCAGGCACTGCACTAAGCACTTTAAAAAATTATCTCATACATTTTGAGGTGGAAGGGGAATTTAGAGGTCATCTCTCTGATTTTACAGATGAGGAAACTGAGGCCCAGAAAGGTTAAATGAGTTCCCCAAGCTCTGACTCCAAATCTAACATTTTAAATACAGTCATGGAATAGCAAAAAAAGGTGTAGGATGTACTTGTAGTCACTTATGTATACTTATATAATGCAGGCTACTTGATAAAGAGAGTAGAACAGAGACAGAGAGGAGAAGGAGGGGGGAAGAGAAGAGAGGGCAAAAGAGAGGGGAGAGAGAGAGAGAGTGAGAGAGAGGGGAGAAGAAGGAGGCGAGTGGAGGAGAAAAAAAAAGACAGACAGAAACACACAAAGAGAGACACAGAGAGAGAAGAGAGATAATACACTTATTAATCACTTACCACATGCCACATACCGTGCTGAGGACGTGCCGAGTTAAAATACCAATATAAGTAACCCAGACAGAAGGAAAAGTCAGAAATACTGTTGGTCATGGAAAGAACAGTGACCTTGACACTGGTTTAATGTTGTTTATGTGCCTCTACTCCTCCCACTCATTTGAATAGAAGACAAAAAGAATGCATGAGTTGAGAAACTGAGGACCCTGAATCACCAGAGCTCCTGGCAGTTTTTTGAGTAGGGATTCTCTAAAACGAATGCTGACCAGAGATAGTTCAACCATCAGCAATTAAGCAGAGAGTCATATGGATTTCATGAATCTAAGTTGGACCAAGATGCACACCTTAGTCAACATTAAATATAGATATTTAAAAAAAAATTTATTTAGGGGGCAGATAGGTGACACAGTGGATAGAGCACCGGCCCTGGAGTCAGGAGGACCTGAGTTCAAATCCGGTCTCAGACCAGACTCTTGACACTTACTAGCTGTGTGACCCTGGGCAAGTCACTTAATCCCAATTGCCTCGCAAAAAAAAAAGAAAGAAAGAAAGAAAGAAAGAAAGAAAGAAAGAAAGAAAGAAAGAAAGAAAGAAAGAAAGAAAGAAAGAAAGAAAGAAAGAAAGAAAGAAAGAAAGAAAGAAAGAAAGAAAAATTTATTTAAGCCTGAAAGCACTAGGTTCTGCTCTGTATCCCAAAGATATAGGAAACTAGGGTGAGAAATCTCTCTCTGGAGAGTAAAGCCCATTTTAGCCAAGCCTCTGAGAAAGAGACAAACTCCTACTTTGGGGAGGGGAAAAAGCCAAGAAGGGTTTTCTCTATTCTGATGACTGTGTGTGTTAAGGCTTTCTAAAAAAGCTGTATCATAAAAGGTCTATGACCTTTAAACTAAAAGCCATGGCATAGCCATCCTTTCATGAGACAGAGAGATAGCAGCCATCCTTCTATGGGGAAGAGATAGCACTCTCTTCCAGAGCTGAAACCAGAAACTGGAATCAGAGAGAAGCTATACAACCTTGTATCCAGGGCAGCTGCCTCTCATGATAATAAGAAGTAACCACAGGACTAATCATAAAAGCTAGCGTTTATTTGGTACATTAAGATTTGCAAAACACTTTATGGTGTTATTTCGTCTGATCCTCACAATAACCCTGAGAGATAGGTAATTACTATTATTCTCATTTTACAGTTAATGAAACTGAGGCAGACTTGTCCAGGGTTACACAGCTAGTAAGGTTCTGAGGCTGGACTTGAAATCTGTTCTTCCTGTCTCCAGGTACAGGGCTCTATCTGCTACAAAACCAAGCTGCCACAATGCTGAGCCACAACCAGGGGAGGCAAGCAGGGAACGACACATAACAGAAAGGACGTATCTGGCATAAGTGACATCATGGAAATACATCTGCAGTCTTGTAGCATCAAATGTGGGAGTTGACTCTTCATGCATGTGTTATGGTCACATGTGTTCCCCACATGTATGTCCATCCACTCATATCCTTGGATTCACATGTTCCCCATTTCCATGTGTCCACTCTTCCCACGGATGGTGTGTGGGTTCACAGAACATTATGTCCCAGTTTTATAGCTGCTTTTCTTACAGTGCTACTTCATCAAATACCTTTGCTTTGAACTGTGCCCAATAAAGGTTATCACACTGATAGGGTTTCAGGAGCTGTGGTTTGGAGTGGCTGTAGACCCTCCGCTCCAGTACCTTGGACCTTAGGTAACCTTGTCTGAGCAGCCTACAGAGAAAGTTAGAGGATACCTCCCCAGATGCTCCCCAAATACACATAGATAGCAATATTTTAAAGAGACAAACACCTACGTACCTTGCTCATGAATTAAGTGTACAGCTCAGGAATCCTAATTATTATCAATCACTGGTTTTACAACCTGGATGAAACAGAAGGTTTCTTTTGAAGGAGATAGGCTCAATTCCCCAAGTCATGACATTGGGGCAATTTCTAAATGGGGTTGAAAAAGGAGGAATTTCCCTCCCTCTTCCTCTCCCTCTAAAAGTGGTACCATCAGGACCCAGCCAGCCACTTGGCCAAGTTATAGAGGGGAGTGCCCTCCTTATGAGGGCAAAATACTTAATTGACCTGTGAGTTCCATGGTCTATGCTACTTCAGTGACCTTCTTTCATTCTCTTTTTCTGCCTACCCTTCTTGCATTTCCCTTTCTGATGTCTTTTCCTCTTCCTTCTTCTGCCCTTACCCTCCCTCTCTTCTCTTATCCTTTTCTCCCCCTTCTCTCTCTCCTCTTTCCTTTCCTGTTTCCTTCCCTTCTCCTCCCTTTC